TAAATCAGAGACGATTCAAAAAATTGATTTTAAAATTTAAAAAATTGAAATTGACCATTCTTCGTTGTCACGTGATATTCCGTCCGGCAGACGAATATGTATCCACAAGAAGCCACCGTTTTGACGCATTTATCCCAGCGTGAATGTCAATCAGATGCGTGTTATCTTGATGATAATCCCCTTGGTCTCGACAATATTTGAAACAGTGCTCGGTTGCTCGTCTCCCCTCCAGTTATTATTGCCTGGAGGTCAAATGTCTTCGGCAAAATTGGACCACGTAGTTTTCAAATCCGTGGTAAATTTAGACTCCCATGTAGAATGTGCTATGGGATATTTTGCACGTAAGGCGATAAGTGCGTAGAACTTCAATTTCCTTAAGTGAAATGGGTTCAAAAGGTGCTCGCGAGCCGAGCCTAAGGTTGGAACTTGTCTAAATTGTTCATTTATCCCCCTGTTGACAGAGAGTGAAAACTTGTTCCATAAATTATCTTGAGGGGATGAAATAAAATTGTTAGTATGATGCTTTATAGATTTTTGTAAAAACGAGGTTCGTTTTTACGTCTTCAAGGTGTGAAATTTTTGTTTAAAGTCCTGTTCATTTTTAGTGTACGCCATTCCTCATCTTGTTCAACAGTTTGCGTTCCCAATTCCATACTGACCGTATCTACTAGCGTAGAGTGGCTGTTAGCTAGGTTATTTAAATTCAAATTTTCTTTACTTCCAGAAATTTGAACTGTATGCAGAGCTCGGTCGATATCTGATGAAAACCTCCAAATATCCATATCCGTGTCAAAATCTCGCATTGCAATGTCCAAATATCCACCTTCAGGCCGAGATCTCCCCCTCCAAATAGCCAACGTCCGTGGAGGATTCACATGTAAATTCTCGCCAAATATCTCCAAATTTCCGATTCCCGGGCCAAATTCTGGCCTTCAAATATCCAAATATACATCAGGCACCCTCCAAACTCCTATTGTGGAAAAATTATTTCTCTGGGGCGGAAAATCTCCCGCTCTCGTGTACTTGAGCATGTAAATGAGGCCAAACTACGTCTTTTTCCGTCCCACAGAAATAATTGCTCTGCAATATTTAGTATCCAATCCACCCATATCCGCTGGACTTTCGAATTTGTAGACAGCCCGCTGTCGCATTTGATTCGTTGAATTGAGGCGGCCAAATATTTTGACGAATTCCTTCAGCTGCAGTCTTGGCGATATTATATTTTGTTCCTTACAACGACAGGGGAATGAAGTGTGGTTCTTCGTACGAATGTCTTGTTTATACGAATACTTCATTATCTGACGAACAACTGCTTTACTTGTATTCGCGCGAGCCTTTCTACCTAACAGTATTGTAGAACTTGTTGTATCCTAGCAAAATTTTTGGAGTCACATGTACATATCCGCGGTAAAATCATCCCATGGAACTAGGTTACTTGAACTTATACGAAATGTATATACATGAATATATGTGTAAATATACCGGAAATACTCATTTTATAGGCGGGTCTTGAAGCCAAAATTTTAAAATTGAATGACCAAGACTATAATTAATGTCTGAGTTAAATCTTGAACGTAAATGCCTTGGTTTTTGTATGGCCAAACAAATATCTCAATTATATCCTGTCTGAAATTGTAGGTGGGTCTGTGCTGCCTTCAGACCCGGCTATAAATAGAAGGCATACGGTATGTAATTATAATAACTTCTTAAATCTGTACAATGTTATGTACAAGATCCAGGGTTAATATCAACTTAGGGCAGAGCTGGGAAATCCCGGATAAGGGATTGGTGGATTGGTAATTAGGATTGGGATTAGTCACTTCCTAATTCAAAATCCGTGCTAGGAAAATAATGAGAATAATCCTTTGCTCCCAGAAAATTAAGCATGAATAGTAAAATCAAGCCCAAATCTAACGAAGTATTAAATAAGTTGATCCCTAACCTGGACTATTAATTTATCATGGAGATTATTAAATGTTTTTGTAAATACATATTCGTGATTTAAATTTTAAGTATATAAGAATTAACCGGCACGTGTGACTCTTGCCACATTTTTTTAACAATACTTAATACATATGTATCCCGCTATTACGGCTCTAAAAGTATCTTATTAACCCCTGAAACCCTGTTGTCTTACTCACTTTTTCCTACGGAATAGTAAAACAAAGGTTAAGCAGATTAATTAAACAACTGGTAAAAAGAATCCTAACTCTTGAAACTAATCCCAATCCAAATTAGTAGTGTAAAGTAATCTAATCCGAAGCTAATTCCATCCCCGAATCCATGTTTTCGATAATTTTAATCCTCAATTTAATTCAAAAAGTTTAGTGTCAAATCCCTACCCGTAATCGGAACAAAAATCGAACTTATCTCCCAGCTCTGGCTCAGTTTTTTCTGCGTAAAATTGAGGAGTCCTGAGTTGGTATTATAACGCCCACTCAAAGGCAAGTAACTATACTATAATTCAAAATCGTTTTTCGATTAATGGACAAATCAAGATCGGCACATGCATTCTCATTGGAACATTTAATCCTTTTTGGAGTACCCTGCCGTCGAAAAAAATACTCTAACCCTTGCAATTCTTCCTTTTCGAAAGACGTGCATTTAAAAGCTACACTTGTCAATCTTCTCGCTATCAAAGAATCCCCTAATCCTTTGTAAAACTCTGAACAGTTTTCCAACTCTTCGAAACTGATGGCTTGCAAATTTTGGGCAAGGATCATTTCTTTCTGAATTCCGGATTCATTTGGTAGGCGACAAACGGCTTCTCCGACAAATGAAATTTGCATAATTTGACAAAATTTGTCAAGAAACGCTTGCAACTCGGAGTCTGTTAGCGCGACAAACATGCTAAGTCCAGTGACCCGCTCGGGACAGCGGATTTCTTGTTCGTCATGTGGCTCGAATGGTTCAGTAATGATTAAAATCGTTTCGGAATCGTGGCATAGATCGAGGACGGGTTCATTCCAGTTTGGAAGAAGTTCGGTTGCGTTGACGGCGGAATAAGTGTCATTAAATCGTAGCGATGGACTCATTGGGCAAACCGGTTTAGGTATTTCCGTTGTAGTGTAAGAATTTGACGTGGTGCTTGAAATATTGATATTTTGCATCTTAGTGATTTGCCTGTCCATCGAAGGACACGATATGATCCGAGTAGTTGCAGAAGTGAATATATTAGTTGCGCAAATTAAAAAGATAGAGCCGTATATTAGTCTCTTGTTAGTAAATTGCTCCAATCCCTTCCTGAAAGTCATCCTACGGTTTTGTGGGTTTGTTTTTCCTATTATAGAATAAAGGTACTGGACAATTAGATTTGCTTTAAAGTAAGCATGGCAGACATATTTATGTACACCGTTAGAAATCTTATAACTTGTAAACTAGTCTGATCGACTGAATGTGACTGGTAAGTACTTGATTAGAGTTAAATTGAATTGGTAGAGTAACATATATACTCGGTGGTGGTATTGATTTGGTGATAACTTCCTTCCTTCCTTCCTTACTTTCGATACAAAATTATGAGTTTCTGTTCGTTATTTCTAATTTTTATGGAGGGGTACAATTTATTTCGCACATAATTTTTTTGACTTTTTTTATATAACCTACATTCTTTGAAACTTCATTGCGTTTTTTGAACACAACGTGGCGCACAATTAATTACTATTAAATTATGCACAAAATAAAATAAAGTTGAATATTATACCCCGACAACTCGTGACGTTGTGGTCATTTGAATCTGGAGACAGCCACCGTACAATTTATTTCGCTCGGCAGTGTATCTATGTATTTATTAAGGGGTGAAAACCCTTTATAAGATCGTTATGTCCGTCCGTCTGTCTGTCTGTCTGTCTGTCCGTCCGTAGCTCCTATAACTTTCGAAAAAAAAGACATAGAGACTTGAAATTTTGAACGTAAACTCCTAACGTCATGGGACAGGATGAGTTCGAAGATGGACACTGTGACATCGTCACCTGTGACGATGACGTCGTCCCAGTGACGAAAAGTGACGAAAAAGTGTCACATTTCAGTTTTGGCATGTGACACATCATTTTTAACTATTTTTCAATGAGGAATTCGAAAATTCATGTCATTGTGACATTGGACGTCACCTGTGACGATTACGTCGTCACGGTGACGAAAAGTGACGAAAAAGTGCCGCATTTCAGTTTTGGCATGTGACACATCGTTTTCAACTATTTTTCAATGAGGAATTCGAAAATTCATGTCATTGTGACATTGGACGTCACCTGTGACGATGACGTCGTCACAGTGACGAAAAGTGACGAAAATGTGTCACATTTCAGTTTTGGCATGTGACACATCATTTTTAACTATTTTTCAACGAGGAATTCGAAAATTCATGTCATTTTGACATTGGTCGTCACCTGTGACGATGACGTCGTCACGGTGACGAAAAGTGACGAAAAAGTGTCGCATTTCAGTTTTGGCATGTGACACATCATTTTTAACTATTTTTCAACGAGGAATTCGAAAATTCATGTCATTTTGACATTGGTCGTCACCTGTGACGATGACGACGTCACGGTGACGAAAAGTGACGAAAAAGTGTCACATTTCAGTTTTGGCATGTGACACATCATTTTTAACTATTTTTCAATGAGGAATTCGAAAATTCATGTCATTTTGACATTGGTCGTCACCTGTGACGATGACGTCGTCACAGTGACGAAAAGTGACGAAAAAGTGTCACATTTCAGTTTTGGCATGTGACACATCATTTTTAACTATTTTTCAACGAGGAATACAATGGTGACCTCCATTTTGACCTCAGAGGTCATTTAAAGGTCATAGGGCATATTTATATCAATTTGCACTGAAATTTAACCCCAAATTCAATGATGACCTCCATTTTGACCTCAAAGGTCACAAAAGTTCACTTGAAGGTCACAAAAAGGTCACTGACTGTTAAATTTGATACATATGTCATCATGGTTGAAAACACGTCAGACGTAAATTTCAACAAATTTTGAACCGACAAAAACAACATGATTTTCAGGTTGACGGACAATACACTGTTTTCACCCCTTGGTTACATTCGTTGTAACGGTTTATTTCTTTATGTGTTTCTTAATTTGCTGTATAGATTGTCTTTCTTCAATTTTTCACAAGTTTGTAAGACGTTTCTTAGGTGCTTATGGTCAATACGAGTGCTTTATGCCTGTAAAATCTGTACTAGTTTTCCACAAAGGAAAATCCTATGAGGAACATGACTCTGAAATTTCAGCCTTATCTGTCATTACATTATCAATTAATAGTCACCTTAAGAATTTTAGATGCAAGCTCACCCAAATCTTCTTCACCCGTCAATGACTCGTACTCTGCATCCTGGCCGGATTTAATAAATTCTTTACAATTACTACTTTTGCCTACTGCATTCTGGCTTCGAAGCTGATTTAATTTGACACGCCGCTCAACCGTGCCACGTATAATTTCTAGATGAATAAAATCGTATAAAAGTTACAAGATTTACCGCGCGCGCATCATTTAAAATAAACCATTACCCGACACATCTTGCAAGTCGTGATCCCGCAATATGCTCACTAATTTGCGAAAGACTGCGACTTGATCCGGTGAAGCCAATTCATCAGATTCTACCCACTTTTGTGCAATATCTTGGAAAGTTTTTGGGGAAATTGATATCGTACCTGGCTTCGAGTTTGGTACGTCTTGCTGACCGCTGTTCCGTCTGAGGTCGCCCATTCTGTTTATTTTTGCATTCTGCTGGGAAGCCAAGGTTACAAGCTCGACTGATGAAGTCCATAACTTTTTAACTGTCTATATATATGTATGTAATCTAAATAAACTAATTTGTATGTAATCTAAATAAACTAATATGTATGTAATCTAAATAAACTAATATGTATGTAATCTGCATACATACACTTGAGTATTGATTAAACTTGAACAATATTATCTTATTTATTTGTACGTAAGTGCTTATATAAGCACATAGCCAAATTATGACATCAACCTGGTACATACATACATATACTGTAAATACATGCTTAGGTGAGAAATTGGCTCACTCTACGATGTACAGTCTACGTTAATGGTAGTGAGAAATATGATCATGAATATAAATATGTACAGCTCACAATATGGGATCTGGTGGTAAAATTATCCAGATTTTTGAAATACATAGTTCCCACACGTTACTAATTCGGAGTAAAATACATCTGTAATCCTTAAGGGTATGTATTGACGCAGGGCACATAAACTTTTTGTTGTCCGTGGTTTCTCCTAAGGGGGTGGTGCAGGGATGAGCATTTTTTCAAAAAAAATTAAAAATTAAAAGTTCGGAATTGCAGGCAATTTTGCCATGAAATTGGCTGGTTACCATGGCCAAATTGCAGGCAAGTCCCGAACTTTTTATTTTTGTTTGAAAAAATTCTCATCCCCGCACCACCCCCTTTGGTGAAACCACGGACAACAAAAAGTTTATGCGCCTTGGTATTGACGCCTTGGTTAAAGATTTCTTTCATATTTGATCCGCTTTCCAAAAATCTTCACTTGCCGAATGATATCACGTTTGTGGAAATACATTCTAAGTAAAAAAAGAGTAAAATTTACTCAAGCTTGGGTGAAAAAGAGTAAATTTACGTAAAATTTGTCCAATGGATCCGCCCGTTTTGCAAAATTTGCCCGATTTTGTACCACGTTGGATACATAAATTTTACCTTTTGGTTGTGACATCCTTTTTTCACCCAGGCTTGAGTAAATTTTACTCTTTTGTGATTTAGAGGGTATTACAATGTTAAAAATTGGTGACAGATGTATGTACATTCTAATGAAAATCGGCCCAGTGGGTACGTGCCATGTTACATAAAATAGATAACCGATTCGGAATTTTATCCCTGGTTTTTCAAATAATACACAGACTTTGTTGTTATTTGCAAATGCGAATTTATGTACATATTAGCACACAGCATCATTAAACTTTTTCGTACTACTAAATTTTGAGTAAAATTTCCCCCGATGACGATAATGATTTCATCCTTCTTACAGAAACTAATTAAACTTCCATAATATTCAAAAGTTTCGTACATATTTCAGACTGTTTTGACAAAAAAAATTAAAAATTCAACTATTCACCAGTGACTTTTCACCAAAATTTTGGAACAAAAATATGAATCAACACAAATCAAAATTTTCTAAATGCCATCCAGTTCTCCGCGAAATAAAGACCAAAGAAATACGATTTTTTGAGAAACTTTGGCGTCTGTGCTATTTTTGCGAGACGAAACGCCACGTCGCACTTATGATGATGACATGATTCAATGTGGATATTCAATGTCAACGTATTGCGCAATGTCACATATTTACGCATGTATCATCTCCAAAGGACATCAAACCCAGTGGGTGGGTGGGGGAAAATACCACCGCTTAAGAGTCTAGACAATATTACAAAATAGGAAAATTACCTTTGTGGTCATGGGAAATTATGGGAATCAAACTCGCCAGAGCCAAAGTTCAAGCACAGGGGGATCCTCAAAATAAAATTAACCTTCGTTTAGAAGTGGTTAAGTAATGGTTCGGCACCATATGCAAACTTGGTTCATGTATTTATGAGAGTTGAAGAGCCTAATACAATGCATATTTACGTGTGATGCTAATCTAATCTGAATATTGTGATTGACTAATTATTTACTTTGCAATAAATGAACTTTGCATCCCATCAGAATGTGGAACTTCGGCTATGTATTCATGAGGAAATTAAGTATTTAGCATGCACTATGACATATAATGGCTAGCGGTTGGACAAAACAGCCGGCAAAAATCGACGGCCATAACCAGGTGCAAAGAACAGTGACAAATGCGTGTTCTATGCATTGTGAAACTCTGACATGATTTCTTTTGTAAATTGATGAGATATTTTAGGTTAAAATATATGTGTTTAATTTTGATTGTCAAGATAAGAAAAGTCTAAATTTTTGAATTATTAGTTTTCCATGTTGACACCAGCAATTTAGTTTCTGGTGTCAGTTTGTCTGACAATTTATTTTTGAATGAATTGATGCTAGTTAAATAAGGGCAAGTCAAATTGAGTAACTTACCAGAGGCTAAGCGAGTCAGCGCCGGCCCCGGGCATTAAAAAAATCCGATCAGGGCCACACCGTCGATTTTTTCCGGGCCAGCCGCAGACGCCGTCCCGATTTTTGGCGAAACCTGGCCAAATCGTCGGCCCGCCGAAAAGGTTTTGGAGCGCTGTCTGGTAAAATTTATTTCATACAGAGAAAAAGTGTTCAACCAATGAAAAATGATAAAATTTGGGTTTACACGGTTACTTGTAGTTGATATCATGAATATTTTTTCGGCGTGGCGTACCCCTATCACAGCAATTCACTTGCAGAAGTAAGATTGACATGGTTGATGTATTTCTCGTGGATTTTGATCGGAATAATTTTTTTGATCAGGGAAGACCCAAACCAGCAAATCCGTAGCCTTTGCAGGGAATTGTTAAATCATGCGAAACATCAGCCTAACTTTCTAGTTTTCTGGATGCTTTTCGATTTTCACGCTATTTAAAAAAATGAACCCAAAAAATCTAAAAAAAATAAGACGATATCTGAATGATTAAGCCCAGCTATCTAACATTTGAGGTTGCGCCAAGATTCGAAAATTTGCATCTCAGAAATATTTTCAATTTAAACAAATTCAGATTTTTGTAATCTTTCTTAATTTAGAATTTATACGTACGCACATATCAAAAATTCCCGCTTTAAATGATTTTTGTTACTGCAATCTCACTCTGTCTGTGAAAATATATGTACCGTTGAAAATATTTGGGCCGTTGACATTTCACGATACATTTGTCCAACCGATAACCAGTATGGCCCATAGTGCAGCGTCACCAGTTATCTATTTATCCTGTTATGACCAGTTGATCCTTCATGAACGGTTCATGAGCACGATACGTCACAATATTACGTCACACCAAGCATACTAATTTGTATAGCAGTTAAGGCTAGCAATCTCAATTCGCTCAGGTAAGCTAAGCTTGTATACATTGACAGATACAAAATTCACCTGTCCGCTTTATCAGACTCATGAATGAATGCTTTTTGTTGTTTTTATTCATACTTGTAATTGTTTTTGTTCCACGAAAAATAACTCGACCTCAAGGGTTTTCACGGCATCATTCCTCAAGTACATATTACGCGTTTGCCAACAAACAACATAATTTCCCATATTGTGAGCATGAAGGAAATTGTACACACTAAATATTTCCACATTGCGCAATATTTTTACAATTTTTCTAGAAATGTGTCAGAACTTCCGCGTCTCATACTGATTTTGATTGACGTTCGAGAAGTGAACAATGTCACCCAGATGGCTTTCCGTCAGACCCACATTTGCTCCAGAAACACCCTCACCAATGGATAACAATGATAAAAAGCACAATTGAAAACAAAAATTTACATACCCCAATTGTTCGAACATTTTCCGCCAAACTCGGATGGTTTTATAGAAATAAGAAACTGCTCGCATGCAAAAAAAGTCGCTTGTTAAGTGACTTTTACGTACTACTTACGCTTTGTCTCAAAATGAAGAGATAATTTTGGAAAATGCTCCTAATTTTTAATAGAGTCGCATTTTAAGACCTCATCATCCCGTGGGAATTTGCTACCCGAAAATCCACCAAAATCCCAATACCGTAAAAACGGTAGTAAAACCCTGCAAGAATTTTGATAAACTCAGATAAAAATTGACTAGTGAAGATTTCAACGAACAATGTTGCTCTAATGACAAGATAAGCAGCAAGCTATGCACGAGGACGCAAAGGTTAAAAGAGACCATTCAAACCCACAACGAGATAAGAGCAGTTATGCAACAGTTTGTGTACCTCAATTATGCATACTGATGGTACTTGACGGTACTTACAGTAAGCAAAAATTTAAATCGTACCCTTTTCTATGATGTAAATCCATGGTTTCTTGCATTATGTAATTCGATTCTTGTTATGTAGTACATCCGTTTTATAGGAAATTTAATGTAGACTCTGAAAATCAAATTCATTTTTTGCATTTCTTACCGGTAATGAACCATTAATTGAAAGCGGAGGAGGATTGAAAATTCATGCAAAACATTAAATCGTACCCTTCCGAGTTTGTAATGAAAATTGTGTCTAATAATTATCTAACACTTTGTAGCGCCTCAGCTTTCATGAATTACAGCTTTGGCACGCCGCGGCACGATTTCGACTATTTTTTTGTGACTTCAGGTCAGAAGTTTTCCCTCACTTCACTTAGAAGGACTTGAAAGTCATGTTTAGACTTCTGTTTTCGGTTAGATATCCTCCTTGTCAGTTATGCCTATAAATATTCGAAGGGGTTGAGGTCAGAAGATCAGGCAATCCACGGAAGAGCGTTAACTCGTTTTACCTTGAGGTACGGAATAATAACCGCCGCTTATTTTTGGGGTCCCCGTCGAGGTGCAAAATTATGTTCGTCACGATTCACAATTAACTCGCTGAGCGGACTTGGCTTTAATCCAGAATGGTCTCCGGCACTTCGTTGGTGATGATTGGGTCAATAGACTAAAAGTTCCAACACCATTTCAATTCTTTGAGGCCCAAGACCATGACACCACCTTCACCACGCTGTATGGTCATTTTCGTGCGCTTGGGTTTGAGATCTTTTCGAGGCTCCCTCCGCATCTTTAGGATTGTAGCTGACCCAAATATGTTGAGTATGTTTCTTTAAGTCAGAATGATACGTATGCGGTAATTTGGAGTCCATCCGCTGTAGTTCGGGGCCCATTGCAGACGCTGTGCCATATTTGACCTATTCCTGAATGGGTTCTTGGTCGCACTTTGGCCCTTAAACTCTCTTTCCCGAATCCGGCTTCTGATTGTTTGAGTGGAAACTGTTCTGTGAAATTGTTGTTGAAGATCGGATGCAATTTTCAGGGCCAAACGTCCTCAGCTGGTTAAGATTTGGCTGACAATGTTCCCACACAAGCATTTGATTTTTTGGTTTTTGCGTCCGCTCTCGTTGAAGTTGCCCACGGATCAAGTTGCCATTAAGTTTTTGTAAATGAATTGGATAGTAGGCTCCTAAAACTTCGTCCCTGATGCAATTTTTGGTAGCATAGTCCTTCACTTTGCAGACAAATGACCCTGTTTGCTTCCAAAGAGTCTTGCTGTTTTCCGCCCACTTTGCAAGATGCCTAGCAGCATCAAAGTGCAGATATCTTAA